TCCCACAACCGTGGAATAAAAAGTAACTAAATTTTTTTTCCTCCCTGTTTTTTTAAACGAAGCATGATATTTTTAAGCAGTCGCAGGAATCCAGAAGCTGGAAGAGAAAAAAAAAAAAAAAAAAAAGGAAAAAAGAGCGTTTCCCATTTGTCACCCCTGAGTTGAGTGAATGAGGGAATGAGAGGCAGGAGGGCTGGTGAGATGCAGCCTCCTCCAGCAGCGATGTGGGGCTGCATGGAGGCAGTCAGGGCCAGATCTCCTTGGAGAAGAGGGGCGAGCAGTTTGACTAAGTTGCAGTGGAGCTGTAGTGAGTTTTCAAATGTAGATGGGGAGGAAGGGAGGTGAGGCTGGAGCAGTGTGACTGGTGGTGAGACAGCTTACTCGTAGGACGAACCCAACTGTGGCACTGCCCGTGCACAGCAGTTTGGAGAAACATGGCTAAGGAAGAAGATTTTGGCTCCTGGAGGAGAGGTAAGACAAAGCGTGGCAGGGGAGTGAAGCGGGGGTGCAGTCCTCATCTTTGCTAGTAAAGGAACAAAAAGTAAAGTAGTAAAAGGAACAAAAGTCTTAAAGCCATACCCATCATTGGCTGTCAGCACTATCAATTATTGCTTTTCTAAACTGAATATAACTTTTCAAGGCTGCCCCCCACCCTCACCCCACCGCACAGTTCCTGCAGGATCACTGCTCCGGGATGCCGCTCTTCTGCAACCTCCTCTTGGCTGTAATACAGATTCATTCCTAGATAGTTTACCCTAGTTTATCCTAGTTTACCCCAATCTATTTTTAGAATGCAGTTGTGCAAAGAATCATTTCACAAGGAGACTCTGAGCTTATCAGAAAGTTTTAATAGGGGGGGAAAAAATGTAAAGGTAAGATCAACATTCCATGTCCCTTTAAATACAATAGTTATTTTGTTTTGTTGATTAAATTGACAATTAAGTTAACAAACTGTGGGTAATTGGCACAGGAGTGCAGGGAGTATTGTGTACTCGGGCTGAGAACTTGAAAGAGGAGGATGTGATATTTCACTGTCTGAAAATGTCAGTTCACAAGTTGAAGAACTGTCATTTTCAAATCCATCACGGACAAAAGGCTGTTGAAGGGGAAAATGGGAGCGATCATTTTATCCATCTCTTTGCTCAGGAAGAGCCAGGAAGTAAGTAAAGCATGAGCAGTGGAGGTTTTGGAGAGCTGAATGTTGAGGGGCAAGTATTTGCTGCCAGTAATGGGAAGGCAGGGCTAACTGAAGAAGTTTTCTTAATCATAGAATCATAGGCAGGTTGAATTCAGCAGAAGAAAACTGACTGCTGAGTAGGTATTTCTAATACATACTGAGGCTTTGGGGTGTCAACACAGTATTTTTACCCAATGGTAAAATGAAAAGGAATGTGAGCAAGAGTGTCTAAGTAAACATAACCTCAGTGTAGTTGAGCTGCTGTTGCATTCAGGAAATCAAGAACTAAGTCACATCCAGTGGCACTACCTTTGCTTCCCTCTTGCTGGCATCACCTCAGGCTGCAGATCACCTGTGCTTTCAGTACCCAAACTCCACTGCAATTTTCTTGCCATTTCTGCCATCTAATTAAGCCGGTATGCTACAGCAGTTCATTATCTTGCATTGTTTTCCCAAACGGAAATAAAATTAGTAGTTTGCTTGCTGTTTTCTTTTTTTACCCACATCTGTGTATCTATATTTAGATTTCAGATTTAGAACTGGATTGTACCAATTCCTGGGGTGCTGATTCTGTTCTGGCAGAAGCGAAGGTACTTAACAGTGTCAGTGATTGATTTTGGGAGGCCAGCTGGACAACTTGGCTGGGTATAGACCCTGCTCATGCAGAATCGTCAGGTTTTAAATCATGAGAATCAGCAGAGTTAACTGACTGCAGAAAAGCCTGGAGAAAACAAAACAAAACAAAACAAAACACGTCAGTTCTTTGAGGAGCTATTCAGACTGTGTTCAATTTTGCACAGCTAAATTAGCTATCAGAGCTTGGTGCGCAGGCCACCACTGAATTTTCTTTCTAGAACTTTCTAGAGCTCACATTAGACGTGCAAGGAAACAAAATCCTCAAATTCAGGCAACTAAATTCAGTGACAGAGATGGTACCATAGGAGTAGTCCAGTTACGTTGTATCATCTTATATCCCCTCACAAATGCAGCATTATTACTATACACTCTGTATTAAATCAAAGGCATCATTCACTTAAAAAAAAATCACATTTGGTCTGTTATACTGTAGGAAATATATGATAACTCTGCTTAAATCAGTGGAATGGAATTGAAGAGATTTATACCCTGGTAAAAATTTGCTACTAAATCTAAGTGGAACTACTCTGTCCACATGAGAGTTGCTAGGAGTATGCCAGGCAGCTAAATTTGTAGAAATAAAGATGGGAATTGAAACAGGAAAATGTTTGTTAACTTCTGATGCAAAGGAACATCAAAAATGGCTGTATTGTTAAAGAAGGACGACTAATGTGTTTTACACCTAAGTCTTTCTTATTTGAAAAGTTTGGTTGTTTTGAAGCCCACTAACCCATGTCTTCACAGAGCGTAGTTTCCTCAGGGTGTGAATTGTCTCTCAGTGTGTACGTACAGCCCCAGGCAGACAAAGAGCCGAAGCATCAATTCAAACTTCTGAACATTATCGTAATTCAAATAATAAACGGTTTGAAGCAGAGTGTCACTTTTAAACTGCTTTAGCACAGATGGTCTTTTTCTTAATTCCCAGCCCCATAGTTAGTGAGCTGAGCTTATTGAACTGCTTGCCAATTCTGTTAAGAGCAGATGGAGTGAAACGGGATAAAGGCAATATTTCAGTGCGGCTCCCATGCATTGGCTCCCGCCCCCAGATGCCATTATCGACATGGATTTTACAACTCCACATCTCTTGCCATCAGCGGTTAGAATTATAAAGAGGTTGAGCATACTTGGCTTGAATGGCAATAATCAATAAGGATGTTCATCTGGCTTAATAAGGATAAATTGGTGCCCTTGAAACAGCATACCCTTCCAGCCGTCAAAGTGAACTAAGACTAGTTCCTTGATATTTATGCTAATTCTGGATGTCTCTGTGCATGTGTGTGCACACAGACACACACTTTTGTTATGCATTTCTCTGACCATTCCCTAGCACTGTGAATTCCTTGTCTGTCTTATAATAATGTATTAATTTAATTCTTTTGAGTGCTCCTCTTTTAAAATCTTATTTCTTCCACTTTGGACTGGCTTTTTTTTTTTTTTTTTTTTTCTAAAGACTTTCAAGACAAACTTTCTCTTTGTAAAAGCTCCCAGTTTCCCTTTCTGAAGCCTGATGACAAAAAGTGCAAGGTGGGATTTTGAGAGGTGCTGGCTGTGAGTGGACCTTCGCTGCTGCTAAAGCCTGTGATCAAATTCTGTCCAGCTTTAACTAGGGCAGGTGGACCTCTGTGCAACAGGCTTAAATTAATTATGAGTGCTTGGGAAAAACTGACCTTACTCCTGTGGGAAGCTGTTGCCATTTTTACAGAAAGCATGAAAGTTCTGATTGCAGAAAAAAATATGTAATACATGAGCACCACTAACATCAAGATCAATGGATCCCTGGAGACTTTGATTTTGATGTTTTAATAAATAAAACAGTGCATTTAATAAGTAAAACAGGCCAGAAGTCATCCTTAGGCCCTCAGACTAGCTGGCGTATGCAATCTGTGGTCAAATGGTTGAACTCCTCCTGTGTAAGTACCAGTGGCTGCTGCAGCTTTTCCTGTGGGAAGAATCTCTCACCCTGGCACTTTTTCCTTCATTAGTACAAATATGGTGCGTTTGGCCAGAATTTTCACTGAGCTCCTTGAAAGTTTTGTGACTTCAGATCATTTTCCACTGCACGGATGTCCTTCATCTAAATTTCTTTTCAGTGCTGGCAGGAGCTCTGTAACTTACCTGGCCGACTTAGAAGAATGTAAGTTTCAGAAGGTGTGGAGGCTGCAGGAAGCACCCAATATTGCTGAGGATCATTGGGAAAACATTGGGGTGGAAGTCTGCAGAATTCTGCCCACTTCCCTGGATGTCTATGAAGTCTACACTGTCAGTAAATTTTAAATGCTAATAGGAGGACATGACAAACTCCATGCCAGTCTCAGTAAAAATGGGAGCTTCTGGATCCAAGGGGTGAAGGAGGTCATCCTCCCCCTCTACTCTGCTCTGATGAGGCCGCATCTGGAGCACTGTGTCCAGTTCTGTGCTCCCAAGTTCAGAAGAGACCAGGAACTGCTGGAGAGAGAGCAGTGAAGAACTAGGAAGATGGTCAAGGGAATGGAGCATCTCTTTTATGAGGAAAGGCTGAGAGACCTGGGTCTATTTAGCCTGGAGAAGAGAAGACTGAGAGGGGATTTTACAATGCTTATAAATATCTAAAGGATGGATGTCAAGAGGATGGGGCCAGAGTCTTTTCAGTGGTGCCCAGCGACAGGACAAGGGACCTTCCATCTCAACATAAGGAGGAATTTCTTTACTTTGAGGATGGCAGAGCCCTGGAACAGGCTGCCCAGAGAGATGGCAGAGTCTCCTTCTCTGGAGACATTCAAAACCTGCCTGGACATGTTCCTGTCCAGCCAGCTCTGGGTGCCCGTGCTCTGGCAGGGGGGTTGGACTAGATGATCTCTGAAGGTCCCTTCCAACCCCGTATCATTCTGTGATTCTGTGATCCACAGTATTCATAAAGCTCTGTTTGCCCCCTATATCCCAGGAGTTAGTATAAGAAGGCCTAAAATCTGCTGTGGCTTGCCACTGAGTGGGAGAAAGACATATCCTTTTCATGGCTGAGGGGTGGGTCTGTTTCAGTTCATCTCAACTGACTGAGTGTCACCTTGCCATGGCAGTGCAATGTCCCAAAGAGATTGTGTAGTCCCAAAGACTGTTGTCTAGTAGTTTCTGCGGTCTGGTGCCAGATATCCATGTTTTAATGTTTGCTTATGTTATTTTTAACCTTCTGTTTCTTTCCCTTTTCTGGCAGATTTTTATTGGTGAGATATCCATGTATTTCATAAAGTCAACCCGAGAAACCCTGATTGTTCAAGAGAAAACTATTTTGACTGGAGAGTGCTGTTACCTGAACCCACTGCTTCGAAGAATAATACGTTTTATAGGTAAGCACCTGAGTACTGCAAGTTTAGTCCCTGTTCGCACCAAAACAGAATGAAACATCCTAATAATCTACACCACAAAATTAATTAAGCTGTGAAATCTTTGCAGGCGTCTTCCACCTTAGAGGGATAGTCCCCCTCGGGATTTGCAAGGTAACGTTCAAAATGTGCCATATCATGCTGTCTGGAGCTGGTTTATATCCTATTCTGCTGAGCTTAATGCTTCTTCTGGACCCTTAGAAGAAAGGTTATGCCAATCAAATCCTTATATGAATAATTCCATCATCGCTATTCTGTGTAAGCTACCCATTTTACTTACAAATTGGTCTTCACCAGCCCATCTCTTTGGCTTTTTTCTTTTCAGCTCTAATTTTAACATCCATAGCTCTGCCACATAATGTTCAGCTGAGCACAGTGTAAAAAAGCCCAGAGCCCACTTCAAAATACCGTTCTTATTTTTATTGTATTTGGTTTTTTGTTAGAGCTTTCATTGAGTTTAATTGCTGAGAAATGAATGAAGAAGTTCTGTTACTAAACCATTTGGAGGTTGCTTTATATGGTGCTTGCAAGCCGCTATGCCTTTTCCATACTGTTGATTAGTGGAAAAAATGCCTATGTGAGACCTTACCGAGGGGACCATCCCATGGTTCTTTTGGAGCAGGAAGAGGAACAGCATTGCACCTTTCTGTGGCACTGCCAGAGAAACTGGTTGTCCTCTGATGGCTCCCCAGTTCACAGCCATTTATGACTACCCAAACCGCACCCCTCGGTCTTTAGAAATGAGGAGGGATGTTGCTCACTTGCTACTTCCTTGGAACAGCAGAGTAAGAAGAAGTTCAGCAGCTCTGAACTGCAGGTGCAAGGGGCTCCGGTTTCCCTCCTCCTTACTCGATCATGAGAAGTCCAGAGTTCATGCGTGGGATGGAATGGGATGGCTTGTCTCACTGCTGGTGGGGGCCAGTGGTAAATATGTCATCCCAATGACCAAGGGGGGCTTTGTCCACAGAGGACCTCCCTCCCTGTATACTCTTAGAGATAAAGCATCCTTACACATTGTGTCTTAGAGGGTGCTGGGTCTGAGTTAAAGGAAGCAAAGGAACAGAAAGCCGAAAATATCTGGATCGCTTTGTCCCTGTCACTGCTGAATTTTTGAGCTTCATCTGGAAGAAAAATGCCTGGTGTGACCATGGCAAGAGTTGCATTGCTTCCATGGAGCAGAGCCCTGGCTGCAGGCATGGATACTTGCTCAGAGCATGGACCTGAAAGTCTTCTCCTGTGCTAAGACTTTGCCAGTAGTAAATATATTCTGCAAAGGAGGAATAACCATATTTTTCTTTCTCCCTCTCCTCCTTTTGTGCATCCTGCTTTATGCATGGAAGTAAGGAATTTAAATATTTTTCTACCTTCTCCCACACTGGGGGTGGAGACAAACCACCTGCGGTTCACTACTCAGGCCTGGCCTATGTGCTGCTGCTGAAAACAAAAGACATGGGAATGTAGGTAGAAGTAAAATACCCTTGAGCTTCAGATAACCTCTAGGATATATTGATGGATGGTAAACTGCCATTAAGAGAGAAGCAGGGTACTGGAGTCCACCGGACCACCCAGGGCTGTTTGACCGTTCCAGCACATTCAGCATTTTGCAAAGTCCCGATCAAATTCTCTTGCCTGCGGGGTCAGCACTAAAAGAGCTTAAACCATGGAGGTTAAGCACTTGCTCTGTATGTTTTCTTATACAGTTAGCTTTATTCTTAAACATTCATTCTATTGTTTCTCTGTTAGTGGAAGAGAAGGAGATAGTGATGACACAGTGGACTCTCAGAGAGCAGTAGGGTATAAACCCTGCTAGAGAAAACAATCTTGGCTTTGCAGCTCTATTTTTCTTCCTGAGAAAATGGGAGTTAACATTGTTAGGAATGGCTTAAAGTGTTGGTCTCATCTTAAACTTCGTTGATTGTTTGCTTATTCTCTTCTGAAACCTTCTCCCTGCCTCTGCAGAAAAAATGAGAGAAGCTGACTTTGTTGAAAAGTGGCTGAAATAATTTATGAAAAGAACTAAAAAATAACTGCACGTTTTTCATTTAAATTCTCCATGCATTTTGCAAACATGACTTGGACTGGACAACTGTAGCCCATGCTGTATGATCAGGGATGTTAGCTCCATACAGCTGATTACTCCAAAAAAAGAGGATGCTTGGCTCTGGAGAGACTGCCAGGTTGCTCATACATGGATTTCCTTACGTGTGTCTTCTGTTGGCAAACTCGAGGGCCATAAGTTACAGAGCTGATTAAGTTGGTTATTCTCCAAGATAGCCTAGCAAGCAGCCTGGCTTGTTGCAAAGAAGTTTGCTGCCAGTTTGATCTTGGTTCAAATTCATTGGAATATCCACATCTGATGATTTCTTTTGGCCCAGATGTGTGAGCAAGAGTCTTAAGTGAGGACATGCAAAAAGTAGTAACTGAGCTTCATGGAATATTGCCTTGTAAGTCATTACAGATGGTATTGCTCAAAAGGATGAGAAGAATCCTTCACTGTATCAGGGTGCTCATGCCTCAGGAAAAATGAACACTGCTCCTGACCCTGCAAGACACATCATGGAGATCTTTTGAGAATTGCTATTTCCATATTTTTGAAAGGCAGAGAGGCTTTTTCTCCCTCCCTGACTCCGTAACTAGAGTTGCTGGGAAGAGATGGGGCTTCGAGAAGTTTTAGCTGAAATGTGCTTTCCACAAAACAGGGAGAAAGTTATAGACACTTCATTGAACGTTCACTTAGATTTTGTAATGGAAGAGAAGCAAAAAGGGAGACTCCAGACTATCTTTTGGTGATGTGAAAGATAAGCATCCTTTTCAAACTATATCCCCAGGATCTTCTGGATTTGATTGCTAGATGAGCCTTTTCCACTCTTGTTTTTTCTTCATGTGTAAAGAGTGCAGGACTTTTTTGCACTTTGACAATGGTGCAAAAAATTAAGCGAAACCAAAAGCCTACAACTCTTTTGAGATGTTGGCAAAGCTCCATATCTCTTTTCCTTGATTTGTCTCATCTTGCCTATTATGCTTTCTGCTTATTCTTTTTTTCCTTGTTTTCGTCATGCCCTCTTCAGCTGCCTCTTTCTAAGATTCTTCCCTCCTTAGTTTAGTGGAGACCTTGAATGTTGACCTTTCTCTTAAATCCCTCTCTGGTTCTTTGCCCACAGGAAGCAGAACCAAAATTTCATCTTGCTTCCTGGCCCAGGCACAAATTCTGCACCTGGGTAGATGTTTGCTTGTGTGGTGAATGGCTGCCTCTCAAACTTGTTGTCAAGTCCTTCAGTGCAACCTACATCGGTGAAACCTGCTATGTTCCCTGTATTTAGAAAATCAATTCCTTTATCAGTGGAAAAAAGCTGGCTCAGCTCGGAAACATCAGACTTTGATAGATGTTGCAATTTGTTCCATCTTCCTTTTTATCTTTCATAGCTGCTTCCACGGACATTTATTTTGAAGATTTTCAGGTCAAACAAGCGGTGTGCAGTTGCTTTTGGAGCAGCATTTTCTGTTTAAAATATCGGTGCTGCTCTGCTATTCTTTAGTCACATCATCTCTCCTCCATCCTTTCCCCCCACTCCCGGCAGTTTTATTATGAATTTATGCTGCCAAAATCTGCTGTGAGAAACCTTGAGAAACCAGGGGGGAAGAGTGGTTGTTTGCTGGGCCTCTGCCTCTTCTCCCTGTCTCCCAACTTGAGCACACACAATGTTTTGTATTTTTATGATTCACCCTTTCTTGTGGTAGTTTCCCATTCAGTAATTTGTTAAAATCTTGCCATCTTGCATTTGCTTCCATGTTCTACTTCATCATTTATATTGCAAATAGAGGTTATAAATTATTTTACCATTCTTTCATGAATGGTTTCAGTCAAGGATTTAGTGTGTTTATATACACTGCTATCATACCCCCAGGATCATGGATTCAGACCTCCCTGACTCTGTTTGGCAGGATGACTAGAGTGTGCATTGTGTTTCATTTCATTATATTAGGGTTCTAATCCGTGTGATTAAGTTGTATACCTGCAAAGCCCTGATAACACGCAAGTAGCCTCTCTCCAGTTCAGATATTTATAAATGCAACGTGCTTTGTGAATCTCTTACCAGTGGCTTTTACTTTGGGGCTGCATAATTTGCGGTTAACAAATGGCGCAAATCAGCTTCTGCTGACAGCTTAATTTAAAGCATGGTGACACCTCACAGTGGGCAGCTAAATAATGAAATTAGGGCTTTATTTCAGCAAATTAAGGCTTTAGTTCAGCAAATAAAGGTTTACAAGATTTATACAGGCATTGAGTTCATTGTAATAGGATAGATATACCCCAGAGCTCTGATGTCAATCCCCTAGGCAGCTGCAGGACGTAGTTTTCCTGACCTGATCCTTCTGCCTGCTTTAGATCTGAAGTTCACCGTGAAACGGCAAATGTTCTGTTATCAGCTGGCTGCCTTTCAGCAGGGCTCAAGCTGTATTATTTGGGTGTGCTGCCTCAAACCTAAACTGCTACAGCAGCTTTAACTGCTGTGTATCTCCCTTTTTATCACTGAGGAACCTCCACAGGGAGAAACAGGTCACTGGGCTGGGGACAAATCAAACCTTGCTGGTCCCTTTTACGCCAAGCTCTGAGCTGGCTATTGTCTAGATGCAAAAATGATAGCTGTGAAGCAGCGAGGGAGAAATAAATGCTGCGTGTCTGTGGGGAGGAGTCTTGAGGCTCCAGAGTGTTTTTGGACTGGGAACTGAATTTCTTCTTGCATGCTCAGACCACACATCTTCCTTCCTATGTCCTCAGGGAACAGTATCCAGGCAGGACACTCACTGGTGAAGCACCAGAGGCAGTAGATGCCTGGAGCAGTGGGCTTTGTGTGGTCTTCACTGAGAGATCAAAGCCAATCCAGGCTACGAGTGCTGGGAAGACTCTTGATGTTGAGCCTGTTCCAGATCCCATGGCAACAGACAATAAATTTCCCGGCAACCTCCGCATCTCTTTAGTTGTAAAATGGATTAATGATACAGATCTCCTTCAACACCACCCTTTAAGATATAATGATGAAGGGTGGTTTAGCAGAGTCTGAGTCACAGGGCTATAAATGTATGGTTTTATTGGATGCACAGGACTATTAGAGCAAAACCTTCAGAGATGGGCTGAGAATCGGCGTTTCCATAGAGCCATGAGTCCTTCCAGGAACTCCCTCCACAGAGACTCTAATATTCTTTAGAAAACACAGGGTTGGAAAAAGGGTTGGGGGAGTGTGAGTGTGCATCTGTAATACGAACGTTTTCTGAGCAGATTAGGTTGAATGTGACAAATTCAGATAATTGACTGGGCACTGGGAGAGAGAGGAGTGCCTAAATAAATGCACTTGGGAGAAGACATGACAATATGTTACTAAAGAGCACAGCTTCTGATGTCTCATGAGCCATTCAATGCATTGTTTCTTTTGTCACTTTACTTAAGGGTTTCATGGTTTTTCTCTAATAAAGCCTCTACCTCCTCATTCTCATTTCCACCCACTGTTTTCTCACTCCTCTCTTCCTGATGTCTTTTCAGCTGCGCTTCTACAACTCCCAGGGTTTTTTTTGTTTATTTTTTTGTTGGTGGAGGTTTTTTGTTGTTGTTGTTGTTTTGTTTCAAATCAGTGACGTTTTAAATGTCTGTGATAGAGTTTCCATGGAGTCAACAAGCAGCTGCAGTCACTGACGTTAGAGAGATTCAGGGTGGAAGAAGAGAGAGCATGAGCATGAGTTGCAGGGAGAAGACAGGGCTGTCCTAAGGTTTTGGTGAGCAAGGAGAGCTGGATTCTACTTCAGGGCAGATGTCTCTTTTAGCAGAAGCAATAAACAGAGCTGGAGGTGGTAACACTGATGAACAGCCACACAGGGAGCTCAGCAGGAGAAAGACGGTTAGGGTAGCATCTGAGTGAGAGCCTGGAAATTATGGGTTTGTGCTTGGAGGACTTTTTGGCAGCAATTTAGGGGGAGATGTAAGTGGAGAAATTAAGGCTGAAGCGTTTAAAATTGAAGCTTCTGAAGATTTAGATTCTTTTGCCAAGACAAGTATTAGTTCAGGTAAGATGGAAGTGGAAATATCTGAGGTTTATGTTCTCTGTCCTCAGCATTTTTGAACAGGGCTTTCCTTGCCTGTTCTTGGACTCTGGGGCAGCTAAAGAGAGGATCAGGGAGTAAAGCCTAAATCAGTCTTTCCCCCAGTTACATTCTGCTTAGTGGTTTGCCTTCTAGCTTCTTCTTTCTGGCTGCTCCTGACGCACACAGTGACAGGTGAGAGCCAGAACAGTGACAAAGTCAGGAAACCTTCCCAGAAATAGCTTCTGCTCCTTTGTTATGCCTCCTTGTGCAGCCAGACTGTGTGACACGTGCAGATGAAAGGAAGGAGAGGCATTACGTAAATGAAATTAACCTCTCTCCATCCTTTCTGCCAGTAACCAGCTGTAGAGGCTGTAGGTCTTCTTCCCACGTGTCTTGCACTGTTTACACCTTCTCTCAGCATATGCCAAGTTCTAGACTAAAGTTCACTGCCAGTGAAAGGTTTTCTGGGTTTCTAAAGTTTTCTAGGACAGAATGAGCACAGTGAGATAAAACTCTCACTCCTTAGTGGGATGAGATTGGCTCCTGTTACATCTGAGTGTCAAAGCCAGGATGAGGTACATGTTCTCCCATTCTCTCTCTGTGGCGTTATATCACAGACTTCAGCTGTGTGACCCTGAAGAGATGGGGCTGGTTGCCCTTCCCATGAAGCCTTTCAGCAGCAATTTGTCTGTCTCTAAAAACCTGGCAATCACGTCACTGCATTCTCGTGTTCTGGTCAGTTAGCTTAGCTGCTGTAGGTCATTGAACAAATCCATTGAACAGATGGATTCCTGAGGTACAAAAACCATCAGGGGACTCTCCGCCACTGCCCAGGCTCACTGGTGTTACAGCCTTTAAATCAATTACAGCCAGCCCTATCTCAAAGTCTCCAGAGAGGAAATGATGTGTGATGGGCAAGGGTTAAATTCCTGCTAGCCGAATTCGCTGCTGCTCATAGCTGTAGTGAATTCTCATTCGGAGCAGTTTGGCAGAACTGCAAGAGGGAAATTACAGTGATCAATATGCATCACAGCCAGAGCATGATAAAGGTTTCAACCATGGCGTGCTCTGATGTTCCGCAGAGTCCTGCAGTGCTCAGGAGTTGAGGCTGGGCCAGCACTTCCAGGGCTACCAAGAGCTGAAAATATACAGATGTTGAAACTTCTTTTTTTTTTGTACCTGTGCACAGCCTAGAGATTGAAATAACTTTGTGAAGCCCATGAGCTTTTTCTGAAACACCTCAGTTCTTGGTTTGTAGTTGCTTATGCGATAAAGACCATGGACCAGGCTGCAGTGTTTGCCTGGTTCTTAGATTTCCTCTAAGTATTGTGAAGGGCTGGGTAATAATCCTCACTGCATTCCCTGTGATTTGCACAGCACATCAAAAAGATGCTATTTCAAGCAAGCTGTGCCAAAAAAAAAATTAAGAATTCGGCCAAAGAGCAGTATCTAGAACAGGATTCATTTCTAGCATAACTTGCTGTTTCGCCAGGCTGAAAAGATAGCTACTGCCTTTTTCATTTGAACTTGTTTGTGTGCTGGCTAATGGAGATAGGAGTTCTGCTGGCTGTGGAAAACCATAAATTTAAAATATTAGCAGAGGGATAAAGGAAGTAAAGGAGCAGTGCCTATACTGTCTCCATTTCCCTTTTAAACACAGACACTTTGCAAGATAAACAGAGAAAAGACTGTCATGCCAGTAAAAAGAGGGGGGCCAGTCCTACAGTCTGGAACCAGAGGAAGGCTACTTCCTTCTTTGACCACTACTGGCTTTTTAAATCCACGATCACGCATCTTTTCATTAATAATGAATTATAGTAGACTCATATAGTGAAGAGTAATAAAATCAGTCCCCAAAATTGTCTTTGCTGTGGCAAAGCTCCTTCCAAGCCGCAGGGAAGTCTGGTGAGGACAAGCATCTCCCCTCTCCTCCATTGGTACCCCAGTGAGGAGCCTGTGTCACACCACAGCTGTGTGTCCATCACACCACACCATCTCGGTCAGCGAGTGGCACTGGCAAGCCCCACTTGACACTCGTACAATGAGTCCATTTCTTAGTTACGGGTTTTATTTCGTGTTACTGTCTGCACAAAGTGTCCTGTGTTTAGAAGGACCTGACTCTGCCAGCTGTAGCCCTTCTGCTTTCTGCTAGCTGCATGGTGGGTGATAATATCTGCAGAATGACCCATGATTCTTGCAAAGTTGATGTAAAGCATTTTCTGCTGCATTATATTGCTGACTCCCTGATATTTTTTATTTCTCAGGCTATGGCAATCTTTTTTCTTTTTTTTTTTTTTTTTTTTTTTTTAAACTCTGTAGGAATAAGCAGCCAATTTGTTATACCATGGTCCTGCCAGCTCTTAAGATTTTATCACTGCTCTCCTAAGATGTTTTCCCTGGAGCTCCAGCTCTTGGTGATGTTTAGCAATCTCAGCTAATTGAGAATTTAAATGACCTTTGCTTACAGAGCTATGTGAGGGAGAAAGCAAAAATATGGCCCTCAACATTACCCCACCAAAAGTAAATGTTTATTTGTTCTAAATTTTTGTGATTTCTTTAGTCCACCTTAGGGAAGGGGGAAAGGGGATCTGACTTAGTCTTTCGGAATGTTTGGGTCTGGCATTTCTGCAAACCTGCTGTGCTGTCCCTTTGATTTGTAGGCAGAACGTGCAAGTAAATTTCGTATATTTTCTCATATATTTTCTCGTATATTTTCATAGCAGCTGTATCAGGTATTGGTAATGGTCGTGAGGAGTCAGTGGAGGATGTGGGAACTGCAGTGTCGAGCAAGGGATGCTCCATAATTCTGGAAATACTCCTGGGTTCAAGTGAATGCTTCCTGCGGAGCATGTCACTCCCAGTGACATCAATTGAGCTGCAACTGTGTGGAAATGCCTTCCAGAGCAAAGCTTTAGGATGATTCCCAAAAGACCTGCCAAATATTGCTAGATCAGGATCTTAATTTTGTAATGTCAGGACGATGAATAGTGAAAATCTGAAAGGTACTTGACACTAGATAGTCATGTTAGGATAAGTGCAGTATTGTATCTTATCACTATACTGCTCTTTCAGGCTCAGAGCTGTTATACTGCCATTTTGTGGCTCATAGATGGTAAAAATACGTAAATATTTTTTAATAACTCATGTGCCACGACACTTGGCTGCAGTCTGTGAGCCTTTGTCATAGTGGAAACTTCACAGGCACAGTACAGGTGCAGAGTTTTCAGTGAAATCTATTCTGTTCAGCGCTTGAATCACAAAAGTACTTAGGCACATGTGAAAACAGTTTTCAGCTGGTTTCTGAGTCCTTCTGGAATTGCTGAGTTAAGCACCTGTCAGAGTTAAGGTTGAGGTTTTCTGTGTCAAGCCTTTGATGCCGGACTCAGCTGGAGTCAGCAGGGGCTTTTTCATGGTAGTAACTTCAGGGTTTGCTCCCTTCCTTCTCGTGATGCCTCACCCTTTCAGGTACCAAGGTAATTATTTTTTTTTTAAGTCTGTTAGACTAATTATTATTTTTAACCTTCCCTCGCAGGAGTGTTTGCGTTTGGACTTTTTGCCACTGACATATTTGTAAACGCTGGCCAGGTTGTGACGGGGAACTTGGCTCCCTACTTCCTGACGGTGTGTAAACCCAACTACACTGGAAACGACTGCCGGACCCACCACCAGTTCATAAACAACGGCAACATCTGCACTGGGGACGTGGAGGTGATTGAAAAGGCGAGGAGATCCTTCCCATCCAAACATGCTGCTCTGAGCATCTACTCAGCTTTATATGCCACGGTGAGTGCCGGTGATGGTTGCTAACTGGTATGAGGTAGGTTTCTTTATGTGCATCACGGTGGGGCTGTTTTTCTTACAATGGGTTTTTGAAGAAAGAGGAGACTGTTTTAGGGAGGGCTTTTCTCTTGATCTGTAAGGCAAAATCCCCTTCTCTCTCTCTCTGTGTTACCAATCCTACTATAAGGAAATAAAATGTTCATTGCTTTCAAGGCACTGTACAATGTGGAGACACAAGGTCCTAATCTTGTCTTTGCTGCTAATTTTCTCAGAGATGTTTGTGTATACATTCATGACCCGCCTGGATGCAGTCCTGAGTAACATGCTCTAACATGCTCTGGGCAATCCTGCTTCAGCAGGGGAGTTGGATCTCTATGGTCCCCTCCAACTCTAAAAATTCAGTGAAATTCAGAGAAAAAAATTCAGTGAAAATTCTTCTCCCTACCCCTGTCTCATAAGCACTAAAATGAAGTTGATGCTCTAACAGCTCCTGCATCACTACTATTTCTTCTGTTCACATGATGTGGGTTGTTGAAGAACATTTAAAATGTAAATTGTGCCATTTCAGTGGGAGGCTGAACCAGGATGCATTTTCCTCCTGTTGTGTAGGACCTGAATTCCCTGTGCAAAGAAAGTTGTAATAAAAGTCAGTGACAGAATTTGCCCGTTATCACAGAGAAATGGACCCTAGTTGACATCTTGACAAGGTGACACTGCTATACTGTCAGGAAGGAAATTGTCTGTCTTAAAACATCTAGTGAAACAGATCGGCTGCTCCTTTGTGTTCTTTGGCTAAAGTTTCTGTGATGTTTGAAAACTGATCCAAGAAGCTTACTCATGAATTAGAAAACCTCCATGGTTTTGCCATTTAGATCCAGGGACTTAAGCTGGTTCTGATCTCAAAACGGCCTATCTAGGTCTTTTTTTCCCCAGTAACTTTGCTCAGATGAGTGGCAGAGTCTGTCTGTAGGTCATCAGGATTTCAGAAAAGCCTTAAACTTATTAATGATGGGGTATTTACTGAATATTTTACCAGGGTCTTGGTCGTAGATGAATAAACCACCACATTATTACTATAAAATGAAGGGCTACCCACTGCTGCTTAAATACCCATCTGTTTGCACTTGAATAGCACTTGAATGATAATGGAGGTATAAATTGGTAACTCCTTTGATCGGCATATGTTGAGGAGTGTTTGAAAAACCTGTAACATTTTGCACACATTATTTCCAAACAGTAAACAACTGTGTGTGAAATGCAGTTCTCGATAAACTAAGCATTGTTGTAACAGCTGTTTTCTTCATGATGAACTCTTAGGTGGAAGCTCCAGGATCAGACTTGGTCCTGGTTCAGCCCCAAACTGGTTACATCCTTCCCTGGACTTCACCTGCCTAACCTCCCTTATTTCCTAGGAAGGCAAGTCTTCTACAAAGAGGCTAATTTCTACAACTGAAGGGGAATAATGCTTTTCCTTCCTGAAGTCCCCAGTAGCTCAGTGTTTCTGAACCCTGGTCTTTCAAGAGTACCTGTGGTGGGCCTGCTCTTCTCCTCACATAGATGGAGCGAGGACATGGGGTTATTTCTGAGCTGCAAGGTCATAAAAGTCTCCCCTTAAGGCATTTCAGCCTACAGTCCAATTTTAGCCCAGTTCTCTGCCTGAAGACACCCTCTAGCACTAGAGATGTTTCACTTGTCTTTTCTCTGCCTGTCAGCTGAGATTAGCATGAATGTTACACAAGAAATGCAGTGTTCAGATGTAGCTTTACTTAATAATTGTGCACCGCTTTTTGAGAAATTTGGTTAGTAATAGCTGTATTTTGCATAAAGATTTGAGCCAGGGAGCAAGAAAAATAAGACAGGTTGAACTTGAGGAGGCAGGAGAATAGAATAAGCACAGACACTGTCTTTTATCATACAACTGTCTATTGAGATCTGGGAACCTGATCCCATCACTGAACCTTGAGTATCCTCTGCAGATGACTCTGCACTGATTTGTTCATTAGTCTGCTAGTGACAGCACGCCCACTGTGATTGGTTTGGCTTTGTGTTTTCATGGGGTTTTTTTATAGTCCAGATTTTATATTTCATCAACTAAGCTTTTTCTTGTCACCTGCCAAAGAAGCTGAGGAGAACCCAAAGCATTGCTTTTGCAATCTCTGCAGGCAGAGGTGAATCTTGTATGCCTAAAGCAGAGCAAAGAGAAAACAGCTGGCAGCCCTGGCTTCCATACTTATACAGAAATTAGAATGGCATCTAATGAGGTTTTATTAGTCTTCCAGAAGTATGGCAGGAAGAGATGGCAGTCACTGTACATAGTACACGCTGCTGTACAGTTAGAAACACATGCTTCTAAGTATCTCTCCCAAGGGAAAATTCATTAACATTTCTGGCAAAAACGAAAAACCAGATGATAAAATCACTTGTTGCATATGGGTATCCCAGTTACATCATCTTTAAACAACTGTTACTTCTGAGAAATGTCATGGAAAAGTAAATTACAAGGGTAGCATTCAACCAGAACACAGAAAATTAAAGTATTTCATCAGCACAACTAGAGGACCTGTTATTGCAGAGAGAAGGTAAATGTCCTTGGTGATCCTCCTGTTTGCCTCGAGTCAAAGCAAGGAGAAGTGTTTTATGATCACAACAGGGTCTCTATAGTTGAAAGATACAACTAATCACTTACGTTGACCATTTGGTAGTGTTTTTATGATCCTTCAACTAAGTTCTTGCTTAGCAGCATCCACAAGTAATTCTCTGTCACCTCCATCTGGCTAGAAGGCTCTACCTCGTTACACTGGATCACAACCTGGCATCTCTCTTTACGCCTGAGTGGGTTGCTTCTTGACTAGACTAGAATGATAAAATATACCTGGACACGAAACTTTCAATGTTTGGGAAATTCTGAATAGCAGAGAACGCTACAGGAAATCCCTTCTGCAGCCCAGGCCACTATGACCCCACCAACAATTTCTCTCATTTCTGTATTAACACCTCCTAGACTAATTAATGAAAATGGAGGCCTTGGCACTTTGAGCAGCTGCACTGAGCATCGAGGAGACTGGATAGTGTTCTCCAATACACATAATTGTCAAAGGCTCTGCTTCTCTCTTACTGTAGAAATCTCTACGGTAAAGGAAAAGATTGTCTCTAAAGCTTGTACAACACAGAATTTTCCAGTATTGGTATGAAAAAACGAACTTCCCGAGGAAAATAAACTATCACCAATCCCCACTTTCTGCTGAAAGGACAAGACAGACTTCTTCCACTCTGCTTCTATCATCATAGATATAACATACATTCTAAATATATATAAGCATATATTTGCATATATACATATACACATGTTTATATGTCTATTTTAAGTTTGCAAACAAAACGCCTCCTTAACTCTCTATGCTTTTGTTTGTCTAAAAAAGATGGGAAAGAAATTACACACAGGCTGAATGCTACTATCACACATTGCACATTGCTAAATATGCTGCTTGAGTGTACTGATAAGAGCACAGCAAAGAAACGGAATAATTTATATAGTTAAATCATATGTAGTTTATTTTTTAATATTATTTATTCTGGTTTTTCACATATTTTAATACTCCCTTCTGCCCTCTCACACCCATCAACTGGTTTTGACATTTAGAATTTTTTAAATAAATTTACCATATAAATAGCATTGTGGAAAATTTTCCAAAACACCTGCTGTGGGTAGGAAATCAAATGTAAGTGGCTTTCACGGAGATTTTGGGCTCTTAAACACGGCTTTGAAAACATGCTGTAAGTGAAAGCGTAAACAGATTGTGAGAAACTTAAAAAATATCTTGGCTTTAGGGACCAGGACAGTAAAGATCAAACCGCAGTGACCAGGAAATCTGACCAGAATAGAGAAGCTCTCCCAGATATTTCTGAGCTCAGTGTGTGATTTATGGACGCACTAGAGCATACCTTCTGGGAAAACAGTTTGTCTTGTTTTAAACCCTCCTCGTGAGGGTTTAACGGATTTCCCTTGGCAATCTGTTCACATGGTTAATTACCCTCGTTGCTAAAAATGTTCTCTTTACTGCAAGTTTACGTTTGCCTGCCGAGAGGTGTGAAACACCAAATACGTTAGGTGCTTCCCATCTGTAATACGGAGAACTCTCCCGTGTGGGTAACACAAAGATCCAGCTTCATCTCGTGCCTGTAAGGAAGACAAGTGTGCATGGGTTGTTCTCTGCAGCCAGGGTTTGCAGCTGTCGGAGCGGAACTGCATTATTAGTTTGGAGGTGATGCTTTGCCTTGGGACGCTGTAACCCACAGCAGTGCTTTGGTGGGGAACAGGAGAGCGACCTGGCTCCCTATTGCTCCTTCGAATTGGCCTCTGCTAGAAGAAGCGCGTAGGGTGGAAGGATGGCGGTAATTATTCACACAGTGGCACTTCAATGATGTTTTTTTTCCTATTGTTGGCAAAGAAGGACCTTAACGTGAGTTTTCATTATAGTCAGGTGCAGCTCCACCGGCCAGCACAGGCTGGGGCAAGGTTGCCTCCTAGTGCTCAGTTGCCCACTGTCACTTCAAGGCACCAGCTGCAAGTCAGGTGTTGGGCTGGAAAAACAAAGCAAAGAGGAACCCCTCTCCAGTCACTTACTGCCATTCCCAGTGCTCCTACACACCACAATATTTCATTTCAAAAACTGAATTCATCTTTAGATTATGTGCTCAGCAGCACATTTAAGGGCAGAAGACTTCACTTCCCCAGGCAGAGATGTGCCAAATTCAGCTGTTAGAAGTCCAGTAATGCAGTTTCTTGGTAGGTGAAGGTATAATTTTGCCTGGGCACAGGCCCAAAGGCAGTCAGATCTGCCTTCCCCTGTTTGTTTCCCTTCCAAGAGGTGGTTGCTGGATCCCTTCCCTTCTTCATATGGTATTGGGTATAAGGCTAGCTTTTTTAACACCAGCCAGTGAGGGGAAGCCAGCTGTAGGAACATTCGATGGTCCCATCAGGGAGAAGGGAAAATAAATATGGACAAACAGAAAGTCAGAGTAAGAATACGCACAATAGAACAGAATAATTGATGACTGTGAGCCAGTAATGTGCCCTTGTGGCCAAGAAGGCATCCTGGGGTGCATCAGGAAGAGTGTGGCCAGCAGGTAAAGAGAGGTCATCCTGCCCCTCTGCTCTGCCCTGGTGAGGCCCCATGTGGAGCACTGGGTCCAGTTCTGGGCTCCCCAGTTCCAGAAGGACAGGGAGCTGCTGGAGAGGGTACAGCAGAGGACCACAAAGGTGATTAAGGGCCTGGAGCATCTCTGTTACAAGGAGAGGTTGAGGGGCTTGGGTCTTTTTAGTCTGGAGAAGAGAAGGCTGAGGGGGAATCTGATCAATGCTTATAAATACTTAAAGGGTGGGTGTCAAGAGGATGGAGCCAGTCTTTTTTCAGAGTGGTGCTCAGTGACAGCGGAAATGGGCACAAACTTGAATGTAAGAAGTTCCATCTAAACATGAGGAGGAACTTCTTTCCTGTGAGGGTGGCAGAGCCCTGGAACAGGCTGCCCAGAGAGATGGTGGAGTCTCCTGCTCTGGAGACATTCAAAACCCAGCTGGACACGTTCCTGTGCAACCTGCTCTGGGTGGACCTGCTTTGGCAGGGGGGGTTAGCCTAGATGATCTCCAGAGGTCCCTTCCAACCCCATGTGATTCTGTGATTCTGTAATAAAGGAATATGTGAAAGGCAATGAACAGAGTGACCTTAAGAATGGATATATTTTCTGTTTCTTGATCCCAAAATTGTGCCCCAGGTCATAGTGACCTCTGTATACCTGGCTCACCAAGGACAGGCATTAAAATAGAGCAAAATAATTGCCCGTGGTTGCTAAGTAGATCTCAGAGTGCATTGCTAGCTGTGCTGGCGGTTGCCATGAAAACCAGCAAGCCAAGCCTCCAGAGACTTCCTTCAGCACAGGCACAGGACAAACCTGAGGCAGCTTCACCCCAGCTGGCCCGCTGTAATCTTGGCTAGAGACCATCAGTGTGACCAGCACGGTGGCCTTAGCTGCTGCAGCAGCAACAGCAGAGGAGAACAAGCCTTGGGTCTCCACCATCCTGAAGAGTCCTGCCTGGAATTCAGTGCCACCCATGGCAGAACACTCAGCAGAGCCCTTCCCCAGCAACAAGATCATCGCAGAGAAAGGTGACATTTATGGCCTGCAGACAGCACAATCAGAGATCCCAGTTATGGTGTCATTAAAAATGCAATTTAAACAATAAGGATCTTCTATAGGGTCTTTTGTCCAGAATACTAACAGAACCATATTTCCATTTCAGACAATGGAAAAAGAGTGAGAATGGAAAGTTTTTCAACTTTGGCGATTTTACTTATTTTTACAATAAGAGAACATTTTTTTTTCCTTACAAATAAATTGACATCTGCTGATATTAAACATTGAACGAGGCACTTCCATGGTTTGTAATCTTTCTGTTCCCCAGCAGAACAATCTTTGTACTTTCACTGGATCAGATCTACACTGTGTGAATCAGGTTCATTTACCAGATGATTGGTAATAAGAACCAAATGAATTTTTCAAATGTATCTTCCTGATTCTGTTTCGTGTATGGGAGTCAAAGGGAGACATTTCTGGCAAATGTATTTGACATACTTGCTTTGCTTATCAAAGCTTTGGAAATCATGCAGGCATCCACGCTTCCTTACTGAAAAGGATTTTATTTAATTGCTTTGCCATCAGGCTTGCTTTGCTTGATCTTTTTCATTTTGTGGCTCTGGAATTAATGACTGACTGCTAATTGTGACCCACTTGGTTTTAGTCTCTCTGTCAAAATGCATTTAAAATAAAATACAAACTGTCAAAAATACAGGTTCATTAAAAAATATTCAGAGCACAGTGGAACTTCATGTTCTGGAATTACATTTTCAGAATCAACTTTGTTTTGAAAGAAATCTCTCACATATTCTGTGTTTCATTTCATCTTGCAGAGAAAATGTCTGGAATGGTTTCTCTTACTGTTCTCTGTTTCCTAAACTTAATACCACTCAGGAAACTGCAGCAGCTGGTTCACCTGGATGCTAGGCACTCCATTGCGTGCACGTTACAATTTCTGCAGGAATATAAACATACATTCTTGACTCTCTTTGCAAACATTTAGTGATATACATTCAGACTGAATGTTTGCTAGGGTATGAACAAGTTCTTGCACAAGTTAGGAAGTCAGTAAAACTGAGCCTGTGCATACCTGCTGAGAAAAAGTCCTGTACCTAAGTGCAGCTTATTAGATGTTTGACATCCTGAAATATCATTTAATGATGTCTGTTTTGTTCTCTTAAAAGTATTCTCTGAATTACCTTAAACCTTTTCCTCTGTTTCCCAGTGCCTTTTTTAATGAACCATGGGTGTTGTCAGATCCTCGCTGATTTAAGATTTGTCTGGGTGGAAAAAGGTGCATTTCTGGCAGAGCGCCTTTTCATTCTTGGCTTGCCCTTTGTTTCAGATGTACATCACAAGCACAATTAAAACAAAGAGTAGCAGGCTAGCCAAGCCTGTGCTGTGTCTGGGTACCCTGTGTGCTGCCTTCCTCACCGGGCTAAACCGCGTGTCTGAGTATCGGAACCACTGTTCGGACGTGATCGCAGGCTTCATCCTGGGGAGTGCTGTAGCTTTGTTTCTGGTAAGCCCGTCAGTCTTTCTACATTCCTTTTAAAAATACCTCAGTTAAAAAAAAAAAAAAAAAATGAAAGATTACTATTATCTCGTGGCCTACTGCAGCTGAGCAATCCAGTTGCTAAGAACTAATTCTAGCACTATCTAATTAAAGGTATCATCAAAGAAAATCTGAATGTGAAATCAGGTTGTTGCTAATTAATAAGGCTAATATGATGACATTTGTGCATTGTCTGTATTTCAGGATTATTTTAGTTAATTCCTTTTAAAAATATCCCAGTTAAAAAAAAAAAAAAAATATGAAAGATTACTATTATCTCGTGGCCTACTGCAGCTGAGCAATCCAGTTGCTAAGAACTAATTCTAGCACTATCTAATTAAAGGTATCATCAAAGAAAATCTGAATGTGAAATCAGGTTGTTGCTAATTAATAAGGCTAATATGATGACATTTGTGCATTGTCTGTATTTCAGGATTATTTTAGTTACTGTACATGTTCTTACTTGACCTGTCCTGGAAAATGCTTAAGAGGTGGTTTAGATTTCAACTAACGTCAAAAGGGAGGCATGCTTGAGACTTCTTCTCTGACACCCCTGCGTAGCAGAGCCCCACTGTCTGCCTGGTATCTGCCAAAAATGTAGGATGCGGGGTGTTGTCTGGAGCTCTAAGTAGTGGTCCTGATTCCCCATTTTGCTTCAGACCATAAAAGAAGTGCAGTGGAGAGGAAGACCCAGCAAGGAGCTGGCTGCAGGAATCGCTCTGACAGCAGATGTGTGAGCTCCTGTACATCTTTTTTCCCCACTGTGTTCCCAAGCCCCAACCTGCCATGCACATTTGCTCTTATTAGCATCACCACGTGGGTGCAGTTATGTCTGGTCATGCCCAAGGGAAGAAGGGCTTGTAGGATAAACTCCACAGCCATTGTGACTGGAGTGTGCAGGAATGGTGCTAAATGAGCTTCGATGTCACCCAGATGTGAGACAGGTTCAGCCATCCAGTGAGCTGTTTTCATTGTTTGGAAATGACAGTCAGGAGTCTGAGGGGGATATTTGGCCAATAAAATGCATCATCGGGGTAGTCCATGGTTCTGTGAGGATAAAGCAGACCTGAGCATCTCTGCTTGATGAAATATGAAAAGGCAGAAAATGGTTCCTCACTTCAGATTACAGGCCAGATGAATCCATTTACTGAGGTAGTCCACCATGCTCAACTTGGGCCATCATAGATCAAGGCTGAGATAGATGATGCCTTGAACCAAAACCCAGGTAAAGTTCTCTGCAAACACTGGCACTTGTGAGATACCTGATGGTAATTCCTGTGAGTTTTTCCAAGGACAGAACATGCTGAACTTACTTTTTTTTTCTTTTTTTCCTGGCATTACACAGGGGATATGCGTTGTCCATAACTTTAAAGGCACTCACGGAGCTCCTTCTAAACCGAAGCCTGAAGACCCACGAGGAATGCCACTAATGGCTTTTCCAAGAGTGGAAAGTCCTCTGGAGACACTGAGTGCACAGGTACTGTAAATCCTCTCACCCAGACCATCACCAAGCACATTTTCTCTTATGGCAGAGTTAAAACTAGTTCTATACCTCACAGGACGCTGGTTTTATTCCTAAAATTAAGCCCATTGAACAGAGTGAGTCTGCGCCAAGAGAGTGTATGTTTCAAGGCATTTATCCCTTAAACTGCCAAATACTGTAGGTCTCCTGCTGCTGTGCACATCCAAAGCTAAAGCAGTAGGATATCACATGCCTTTGCCTATTGTTTGTGATAACAAACTTTTGCTTAGAAGAATAGAAAACTGAGATAAAAGATAATTCTGTCTAATTACACTTCGGAGTGCTTTTGGGTTGTCTTAAGGATTTGCTCTTAGCATTCATAATCCTGAGGATAAACTATACTGTCCGGAAAAATATTATAGAGATTAGTTTTTTATCCTTCTTATTGTTCAGTGTCTTCTATAAGAAGAAGAAGAAATCATATACAGTTTTCTATCTCTAAGTCATCAGAAGGAAAGTTAATAGCATTATTTCAAGTTTGAAAAAAAAATAAAAATAAAAAAGGTGTTTCTTAGCCCAGAAGCAGGGCTTGAGCTCAGCGTTTCCCACCACAGGTAAATGGTGGTCACATTTGCAGTGATCTCTTCATTTTAAAGCCCTACATTAGCTGGGCAACAGATTTTATTAGTGAAGGTTTTTCTCATTCATTTCACATACTAGGATACCTAAATGTCCAAATGTATACAAATGTTCACGTTTTTGCCTTTTCTTCTTTGCAGAATCACTCTGCCTCTATGACTGAAGTAACCTGAGATGGAAGACTGGCAACAGAAGCTATTTTTTATTACCCTTCAGTACAATACTCCAAGACACACAGTTACTAAATGTCTAACTGTGATGACCAGTATTATGTTATGTCTAGTTAGAGGCTAATGTTTTGTACTTTTTTTGTATGAGGAAGTGATGTAGCTTGCCCTGATTTTTTGTCAGCTTTAATATTATTATGCCAGAATTTAAAAGCAAAACAGAAAAAGAACAAAAAAAAAAACCTTTTCTTGTTTAAAGTGTGCACTGAGGAACTACATCTATGGAGTTGTTGATGTTGTTATGTGATATTTGTACACAATTTTTTTTTTTTTTTTTTTCATTTTTGAATTTATATATCTTGAAAAAAGAAAATCACTTTTACCTTTTCTTACCATAAGAAGTGCTTCTACCAGTAGGTCAGATTCTGATCTGGGTAAGTTCAGCATAGATCTGAAGTAACTGCATATATTTAATTCAGATTAAGATAATGGTGATGAGGAATCTAACCCGAATGATACTACCAACAAGTAATAAACGTCCATCCTTGATTCAGTGAGCTACTTAAGTGTTCCTTAGCATTAAGGACTCGGGTCAGCCATCCAGTTTCCAGACTGCGTGGTGGACTTGAAGTATGTCCTTAAGCATCTTACTGAATCAAAGCCTGATTGTTCTGGTGTGGGTGATTGTGCTAGTTATTGAAGAATAACTAAAGCAACGTACCCAGTCTGCAATATAGATAGACTGGACACGGAAATTTATAGTAGTAGCTGATAGCATGTGAGCTGACTATATCATCTCCCTTCCCCCAGGCCCAGCTAAAGCTCCCGGTGACACCTGGCTTCAGGAATTGACTATGGGGATATACAGCCACCACTGTGGAGCTGAGGCTGCGCTTTAAGTGTTCCATAACTTCATCATAGATTTGTGGGGTAACTCGTAACACTGGTGCAAAGGAAAAGTGACACCGCTTCTTCAGAGGAAGTGGCATTACCTGGCATTCAGATTGGCAGAACCAAGAAGCCAGATTTGCCCCCACGGTGTAGCTTTCGCTGAGGGGCCTTGGCAAGTCAAAAAACAAACAAACAAACAAACAATAATAATAAAAAAAAAAACCTTACACGGTCTATAGTAGCAGTCTGCATTTTTGTAAATTCTACCGTACAGAATTTATATCAAAACTGCTATTTTGCAATTTAACAACTTTGTTTAAGGACTAAAAAGACAATTAATTGTGGGTGGAGGGTGGGGGGAAGAACAAAAAATAGCCCATTTACAATGGCTAGAACTGGGGCAAAGGCTTCATTACATAACTTTTCACTGTTTCTAGGATTTTCCTGCATCTCATTCTTTTAGCATGGTGATAACTGCTGTGTGTCTCCTTTAAAGAATGGAGCCTCTGTCTGTACTTTTACTGGAATGTTTACCTCACATTTCCATGTTGGTTCTTCTTGGCTTTTTTTGTATATTTTTTCCAAAACAGATGCAAAAAAAAAAAATTATCAAAAAAAAAACCCAAAACGTGTAGGCTGGTCTCTGTCATTTGCCTGTGAGACAAAGAAAGTTTGGGATGCCTGCTTGTGTCTGGTCTTGCAGTGTTTCTTCCTGGTTGGTATTTTGTTCTGACTCTGCTGATGTCGACTTCACCGTTAAGAATATAAGGATCGGACTCGGGCCATACCGGGTTTCTGTGACCACAAGGAAACATCAATAAGTGTTCTGGGTCCCTCACTACAACTTTGATCCAAATTCCACAGGGAGAATTTCTGCTGAGTAAAAGTTCAGCTGTGGAATTGGTCCTTGTTCTGCTGTAGTGACACATTAGGAAAACTTACCCGCAATGAATACTCCAACCAATATGCCCAGTCAGCAGCACATAAATCTGCTCATAATGCACAGGGTTAGCAGGGGGATGAGTTCTAAGATAAAAACTTTATATTCTGCAGCCTAGTTTTTGAAGCTCTGGTCCCTGGGGTTGTGTTCCACCTGAGTGTGCTGTTACCACCCCATGAATCTTGCGTTCTAGGTCAATGGCTTGCACTGAATTGATAGTGATGTTGTTCCCACTCTGCTTATGCTCTAGCATGATGGTGCGGGCAGTCTTTCTAAAGGTGGAAGGCGTGGGTTTGAATTTCTTCCCCATCCTCGAGGCTGAAGAAGAATTTGAATCTTGGTTTTCCACTACCTGAAAGACTACTTTGTCCTTCCAGTTGTGTTCCCTGAAACAAAAGCTCTCGAAACCAGAAGCAGTTTAGAGAGGAGATATTGCTTTATTCAACACTGGGTGCTGGGTGGAAATCCAGAAATCTAGCGCACCTTACTGTGGGCATTCACCCATAATTTATACAAAAAATATTCTTATTATTCTGCCTACCTAATACATAACTCCACCAAAGCTTACATATTCATTAGGATGACTGAATAGCACATTTAATGTGTATTAAATTTTGCAGCGTCAGTATGAGTTCCTTGGTAGTAGTCTGGGTAGGGATACCCTTCCTCACATTATCCTTTTAAGGTATTGAGTCATCTCAGGACAGTAAAAGTTTACTGTAAGTTTGCCAACTTCTTGAGGATTATAAGGATGGCCTTTGAAGTAGCCACAGCTCTGTCTTAATTGGTATAGGAGTACAAACTCTGACATACAAGAGAATCTTGGGGTGATTAACTATTTCTTGGTATGCCTTCCTTATCACTGTCACCAACTATTTTCTCACAGAGAAGGCAGCTCAGTAACTAACTCATTTTAGTTAGCATATGTTTATAAACAGAGCAGAGGCCTGTCCTTGGTAGCAGTTAGAGTGCAGCGGGGTGAGAGACACCCCAAATGGATGTCTGTGCCCCCTGCTAACTCCCCGCTGGCAGGGAGGTGGGTCGCCCCACAGATCTGTTGTTCCTGCCCCTCCTGCCGGGCAGATCGTCCCTCTTGGCTGTGCCAAGGCTCTGGAATGGGACTCTCAGGATCGGAAAAAGAACACCTGCCCTTGTCTTAATTAGTATAGAGGGATAATTGGCACATCTCATCAAAACCAGAGGTCAGCAGTCAAAATGGAATGTTTGTCCTCATCTGGACCGGGACGGGCAGTCACATGCACCCCACCCCACTCTCTGCTAAGAAAGACCCCCCTGAGCTGGCTTCTTTACGCCTCCTTTCGATCTTCTCTTCTCTGCTGGTTCTGCCGGAAACAAATGAAGATCAGCCCTCCTGCAGATACATGGGCAGAGCATTCATTCATTCATTTATTTATTTGATTCAATAGAAATTAGGTACTTTTCAAAGCCCAAGGATCTGGGCTTTCAAAAGCACTTAAGCACCTGGAAGTCTTAACCCTTCCATGGCACAAGTGTTCTGTGCAAGACTTCGGTCTCATTTCAGACTTTTGCTTTTTTCAGCTTGTTACAAGCAGTTAGAAGCTGTGTATCTCAGACACCCATGTCTGATCTTCTTCTTCCCTTGTCCATTCGTCCCCCCAGCTCCTCGCATGGGTCTGCTGCTGGCAGCACAAGGGTTGGGCCCCACAGGGACTGAAGTGTCTGAGAACATGGAAGACGAGCAAAAAGCACAACTACCACTGACAGTGGTTTTTTTAGATAATGAGTACTCAGAGGAAACAAGGAGGCGCAAGCATCTATCCCTTCAGTGGGAAGAAGACGTTTTCATTAAAAAAATACTTCAAATTCATTGCACCCAAGCGGCCTCTGAAGCAAAGATGACACAGGTTTAGCTATTTATCACACTGTTTTTCCATAAGCTACAAGGGAATGGATTTGTGAGCAGCCAGCCTTCCCCAGTGAAATATGCCCAGTTCCCTCACATTTGCCCCACAATGGAACACGTAGTAGTATGTTTTTCCTATTCTGTCGTTCCCCAGGACTCAAAAAGAGGAAAGAACAGGCTTCTTGAATTTCTTCAGCCCTATGAGAAGCAAGCAGTGCTTGAGAATATTACTGAACAAAGACACTGAGCACTGCAAGACACAAAAGCAGCAGTTCCTAAGCGTGCTTTGGGTGTTCGTACACTGAAGGAAGCCAGGGGAGCTAGGGTTCAGGGGAGCGAGTGGTAGGACCAGGGTATTTCTGGATGATTACCCGAAATATCACACAAACAGAATCTAACCTCACTGCAAACAACCTGTTTCGTAGAAAGCATTCACAAAGTACCAGGCACTTCTCAGGTTGTTGCATTTATTTTCTTGTCCTCCTGACTTGCCCCTGCTTGCCTCCTGATTAAAAGCCAAGCACCAGTTACACTGTAAGAAAAAATAACATATAGCTATTAACATGTTTTTCCATAGCTGCAGGAAACTAACATATAGCTAACATGTACGAAAAACTAACTAATAGCTGTTAAAAGGAGCAACAGAACTTGCAAAAACTGGGTCCTTCAACTGACATGGAAGAATTCTACGTGCTGCCTTGATGACAGCTGTGTTTAGGGTGACCGTTACTGAGTTAAAAGATTTCAGAATGCCACTTGGCACTATCTTCACATAGGAATTTTGAATAGAACAAGTGGTTACACTTAAGAGAGCACCTATGATGGCTTTTAGAAACATTATTGCTGACAGGGTCTTCTTCCTCCCCCTCCTTCCCCAGGAGTTTGGTGCCCTGGCTAGTTAGTCATGGTGGCCAAGCTGATCAGGTCACCTAACACAGCCAAACACGGGCAAAAGCCCGTTACAGAGTCCAGCACCAAAGACAAGAAGTTTACAAGGTGCAGGAAAGAATCTGTGGAGTTGGTCCTCTCTGTTTGTCCCCACTGGACCTGCTGGGCAGCACAGTACAGACAGAAAGCATACATTAGTACCCTTACTGACCACACAGTGTCACTCTTTCACAAGAACTGCTCTTTTTTCCATCCACAGCAACAGAAACAATGAAACCTGAAGACAATTAAATGAACTTTTATTAACGGTACTTATATTTTCGGTCAATACAAGGATGAAAGGGCTCTGCTTCTGCTCTGCAGTCCTGCCTTAGGAGCACAAGCAAAGTGGTGCTTGGTGGCACGGCTCACTGCTGCCAGATAATCTTCAGGTTTGGGGGTAGCTCTGCAGAGCACAGTTCATCGAACTTGGACACATCCTTCACAGGAGTGCTGTAGAAATTCAAGACATCCCCAGCGCTGCGCATCAGGTGCAGCTGTGAATTGGGGACAGCGTGACCAAGTTCTGCTGCCAGCTGAGCCAGGAGGCGATATTTTAACTTGTTTTCTTGGAGGGGTGTCTGCTGCCAATTATGAGGAAGTGAGGGTCCAAAAATCTCCTTGACGTGAGACTCAAGGCAGCTCTGTATATCCTCTGGAGGAAGATAGCTTCTGCTGCGGGGTGGGGGACAGATCAGGCTGGGTTCACTTTTCTCTTGAGGAATTACTTTTTCTACTTCTACTTCTTTTTCCTCCTTCCTGTTGACACAAGACAGAAGTACTTTCAGTCTTTGGGCTACTTAAGACTGAGTCAGAGCCTGTATCTATTCACAGTCTTTAAACATCAAAGCAAACCTAGCCTCTACAGAGTTTATCCATCCCGTGGACACTGCAGGTTCATTATGCACCCAAGAACAATAGCTCATAGACTTGGTTTACCCCAAACTTCTCACCACATAGGTTGTCTCTACATCTTTGTCACCCAGCTAGCTTATTTTTACTGGTCAGAGCATAAACGGAATTTTAACCAGCTTAATGACTCGTTTTCCCAGCTACAGCTCCATTTTCTAATCTGCTGTGAAAAAAGATGGATAGCAGAAAATAATCGCTACTATAGAAAAAATATTAAGTGCTCACAGATTAAAAAAAAACAAAACACAAACAAGCGATCACTAGCTTTAAGTAATAAACTGAAGGCTAGCACAAGTTACGTGACTTGCTCATGTGCCACAATCCAGGAAACACCACAAGTACGGTTTCATCTAAAAATGTTATTGAGAAACGACCATTTTCACTCCCATTCACAGAATCACAGAATTTTCTAGACAGGAAGAGACCCTCGGGATCATCGAGTCCAGCCATCCACCCTACTCTAAAGTTCTCCCCATACACCATATCCCCCAGCACCACATCTAAACGGTTCTTAAACACAGCCAGGGATGGTGATTCAACCACCTCCCTGGGCAGCCTATTCCAATGCCCGACCACTCTCTCTGTGAAGAATTGTTTCCTAATGTCCAGTCTAAACCTACCCTAGCGCAACTTGAACCCATTACCCCTTGTCCTATCAGCTGTAACTTGGGAGAACAGACCGACCCCCGCCTCTCTACACCTTCCTTTCAGGTACTTGTACAGAGCGATAAGGTCTCCCCTCAGTCTCCTCTTCTCCAGACTGAACACCCCCAGCTCCCTCAGCCTCTTCTCATCAGACTTACTCTCCAGACCCCTCACCAGCTTCGTTGCCCTTCTCTGGACCCGCTCCAGCACCTCAATGTCTTTCTTGTGGTGGGGGGCCCACCTAGCAAGCTCCCTTGCCAAAGGAGGAAACAGCATTAAAAAAAAACCCCAAACCCTCCCCCGCCACCCCCGCCTGCTAGCAGGGACGCGCCGAGGGCACTTGCTGCACGCCCCGAGGCCTGCACCTCCACCGACGCACCCTCCCAACAAAACACAGGGGCGGTCGCCACGGAGGACCCCCCACCTCCGCCCCGCTCCCCCCGCCGTTACCTCAGGCCGCCCCAAAAGGCCCTACGTGCCGGAGGGCCGAGGCCGAGGCCCAGCCGCCGTCCCGCCACCCGCAGCCCGGCCAGCGCCGCCATGATGAGAGGACGCCCAGCCTCCTCCCGCCGGTCGGCGGGGAGTGACGTATTTCCGGCCGCCGCACTGCCTGTCGGGAGCTGTAGTCCCGCTGAGGGGGGGGGGTGGTCCGTAAAGGCAGCCCCCTCAGAGTCCTGGGGGGAAGGAGGTTTGGCAACAGGCCGTGCGGGGCTAAAACAACATAAGGTAGGGACATATGTCGTTACCCGCTTGCGGCGTTAGCGATCGCTGTGTGTTTTGGGTTTTTTTGCCAGTCAAACGCCGTTTTGGCAGCTGTCGGTGGAGGTTTGCATCCCGGCTTTGGGGGGTGAGGGTTGCCGGGGCTCACAGGCCGCCCCTTCTCACAGGGAGCTCCTTCTGTAGGCCTCGTTTCACCCCCGGGCACCCAATCATATGAGAATATCCCTTTTCTTTGTTGTTTAAAAGGATGATCATTTTTAGAAGGGAGAAAAAATGCTTCATCAGTAGGCAGCCTTGCTTTGATTTGTGGCGGGACCCTGTAGGAGAGCCAGAGAGGGACTCTTTGTCAGGAAGTGTAGTGACAGAACAAGGGGCAGTGGTTTTAAATTGGAAGAGGGGAGATTTAGATTAGATATTAGGAATAAATTCTTTTCTGTGAGGGTGGTGAGACACTGGAACAGGTTGCCCAGAGGAGCTGTAGATGCTCCATCCCTGGAGGGGTTCAAGGCCAGGCTGGATGGGGCTTTGAGCAACCTGGTCTGATGGGAGGTGTCCCTGCCCATGGCAGGGGGGTTGGAACTCCATGATCTTTAAGGTCCCTTCCAACTCTGACCATTACATGATTCTATGATTCAGCAGATGCCCACTTGCTCTGGTGACAAACACCTCTGTCAAAAGACAAAAATAAGAAGCCAGGCACAGCCGTCAGCTGCGTCAGGCAGAGTGCATGTAACGTGTCCAGCAAAGGAGCAGGAATTATTTAGCAAAGCTACAGCATTAGTTCTATAAGGTCTGAGAGGGTTTCTTTTGCTGTTTTGGGGGAACATTGTTTCCACTCTCAGTTTTGAGAGAAGCAATGCACTTGATCAGTAGGTCAGTAGGGTGCTTCTCATCAGGAACAGAGGTTTATTTGTACTCAGGTGCTTGGAGACCTACAGGACCACAATGAAACAAGAAAAGGGATGTTTTTCCTGGCTTCAGTATCAGCTTCTAGAGTGTTTTTTGGCAAGTCACTTGCTGTTCCTTCATAGTTGAGATCAGGACAGACTAGATGCATGCATTAATTATGCAACAACTGGATCCCTGTGAAGGAGTTGGCTATTTATTGCCTCTGTGAAAGAGTGGTTACTAATGGAAAGAACACAAGGAGCTCACAGGGCAGTGATTTTCCCTATTTTCCCTTCTCCTTGTTGGCAGGAGCAGTGGGTGCCTGTGTCTGGGAGGAGCAGCCTTGCAGAACAGGGTGGCTTTGGCTGCGCTGGCTTGGTCCCAAGTGGCCCCAGAGGGAGATGGGGGGAGGCCTTCTGGGATGCTTGTTCTTTGCTGGTTGGTGGGCTGCTCCAAGGTGTCACTAGTTGATTGGTGTGGCGTGTTGCTGGGCAAATATTTTTGTATAACCTTAGGTCTGCTATTTCTGCCACTTCTGCCTGTCTAATTATGCTTTAGCTAGCAAATCTTACACCTCAACAGGTACATAGCAACATACCAAAGGTCAAACCCTGTGCTTTCAACATCAGGCTAATTATTCAAGTTACGCCAACAGGGTGGGCCAAGATGCCTCCCTCCATGTTTTATGTTAATTATTGTGGAAAATGCCACTGTAAAAGTGCTTTGGAAAAGCAGTCTTTGCACAGCACTAAGTCAGTATGTGCAACCCTAACTCAGTGTATGACATCCTCTTGACCCCACCATGGTTCTCCAGAGACATAGAAGCTTCTGATGGTAGTGTTATTTATCTGCGGCCTGAGTCCAATGCCCTGCTTACCATATACACCTCTCAAGTTTTCTCAGTGTCTGTCAGACTTCAGTCAATAGGATTTACATCTCCAGCTGTATCACTATTGGATTATTTCTGTTTGATCTCCTCAGCGTTTCCCAAGCTCACCTGCAGTAATGCTTGTGACTTAATCTTTGGGTAGGATAGTGAAAACCACAGATGTGTGAAAGAGGCCTTAAAGTTTATATAGAAAAAAGAATCGTTAGACATAGATTAGTTTTTAATTACTTTTATTGATATGATTGAAGACACAGTCCGATTTTGTAATTGAGGATTTTGGCTGCAAAATATGGTGATGGGCAGGGGTATGTATTTGAATTGCTAGGGAACTACTTGATCTGCCTACTATTCTAGGGGCTAAGTTTAAACTAGAGGGAGAGCAGATTTGTGCTTCATTGGCAGCTGTTGTTTGTTGTATGGAAAGAACTCCCCTTCTTTGGAATGGGCAGATGAAACAAGAATATCCCCTCAGTAAGTTGTAGGAGTGAAGGGTTGAGAGAAAGCTAATCTATTTTATCCCCAGTTTTGTTTAGGGTAAGGGAAATTAGATTTTTTTTTTCTTTCATTTCTGAACAACTTCCACCTTGTGAAGAGGAACAGGAAGAAGTAAGGTTCCTGCACTTTCAGTAGGTGTAGCTGGCAGTGAAAAGTGACTGTGTGGCAGCTGTGTCAGTCTTCCCAGACACAACATACTGTCCTCTGCAAGCCAAGCTGTTAATCTGAAAAAGAAACAAAAAGAAGGGGAAAACAGTTAGCTTGAAGTAATAAAGACAGATCCAGAAAGGCAGCAGGAGTACCCAAGCATGGCAAAAATAACAGAATAACATCCCTTGTGAACATGAAGCACCAGAAGGGCTGGGAACAAGAGGAACCTTAGGAGGGTGACAACATGTCTCCCTTCATGGTGCACAGCTCCCCTCTGCACTGGGGGAAGGTCTGTACCTGTGCCCGCTTGCGGAAGGCCTCCTGTGCAGCCTTCTTGTTCTCATTTTTGCCCAGCCATGCTGCCAGGGCAGAGGCTTGCAGAGCTCTCCCGTATGAAAAGGTCAGTTTCCAAGGCTTAGGCAGAGGGGACTGATTCATGGCATTGAGGTTGACAGAAGCCTCCTCTTCACTCTGACCTCCAGACAGGAAGCAGATTCCTGCAAGAAAGAGGTTTTGAGGCTTAGAAACAGTGCTCCAGCCACTGCAGTCCCTGACATTTATGTGCCAGGGGAGCGAGCGTGTCTGATGGAGGAGCAAGGCCAGCAAGAGTGATGGTGTGAATGGACACATAGGAATGAATCAAGAATCACCAGGAACAGCAGCAGGAACGGTCCGGAGAAGAGTAGTGACAGTTGCTATGGCTACATCCTGAGGGGTGTACTTCTTGGGGCAGGAATGTCCAGCCGTCACCATGTTGGGTTTCAGCAGTGTCCCTTCCAGGTACACATGATGGTCATTCAAGGCCTTGTAGACAGCAGCCAGAACCTGAAAACAGGAGGATTGGATACAGAACCTCTGCTTCAAGTCTTCACCTCATCCTGCTGTGAAAAGACAGCTTATTCTTTGGGAATGTGAGAAGACCAAATTGAACTTTACTTTCTCATTAAATTTATCACGGGGGTTGCAGCCCTGGAGACAGCACTGCTATTGAGGTGACCAAAATACCCCTCTTCCTATTTGCTGGATTGAAGAGAGGATTTAGTAGTTGTTTGTATCCATAGAACCTTGAAATGTCTAGTAGTGGGTTGTGTTTTTAAACTATTTTAGAATTTTCTATCGTAGACAGGTAGTATAACCTTGCAGGTGCTGGCTTATCTCAGATAAGGGATGGGAGGATGGCACAAGGTGCCTGGAGCCGAGCACAAGGCGCCTGGAGCCGAGGCCGAAGCTCCGAAAAACCAGCCAGGACCAGGCCTGTGGTTTGGACAAACTCCAGGGGTGATCTGAGCTGGCGCCGGACACAGAGGTGAAAAGTTACAGTGAAGAAGACTACTAACTTCATCCCTGAGACCCCCTGTCGACCACTACCAAGAAGCACTGCGCAGACTCAGGGGGGCGGGAAGCTCATTTGCATGGGAAGTGGGGAAAGTTAATGCATATGTATAGGTGTTGTGTCACACCTGTTGAATATGTATTAGTTAGGGCCATAAACACAGAATTTTGCTTTGAGGTCGGGGCGCACATCTTTGGGAAGGATCCCGTGTGCATCCGGCGCTGAATAAACACACCTCCTTTATAACCCTCCAAGGTTGTAAAGTCGTTGTTCCGCGCATCATGGATTTATCCTTGCAAACTGAGGTACTGAAAGAGGGGTAAGATTTTTTTTGCTCCCGATCCCTCTTTTGAGATTTAGAATGCTTATTTTGTCAATTTGAGTGGAAATCTAAGAGCATAGATTCTACTCTTGCATTTGCTATTAACTAATTTTAAACAGTGAACAACTGATTTTTCTGGTGCAGTTATGAAGGACCTTTTTGGACAAAACTCTTTAAAATCTGTGAACACGAACTCTGCATAAGATTAACTACTGATTTTGGAAGGGGAGGAGAGGAGCAGGAATCTCTTACCTTTTCTGTGACATACTGGCAGCGCTGGAGATCATGGTCTCCATCAGGCAAGATTTCTGGCTCCACAATGGGCACCAAGCCATGCTAAGAAAAGAAAAACAGGGGAGTTTAGGGGAGTTTGGAATAATATTCGTCCTTGTCATCTACCCTGACTTTGGTGGTATTCTGTCTTGCTGTGCTGCCCTTCTTCCTCATTGTTCCCAAAACCCTCACAGACATCCACCTTTCAAGTTACCGAGCATATTATTGCAGGGAACAATGAGAAGGGGCAATAGCACCTCAGGAAAAGTTGCTGGAGGGTAGATACCTGCTGGCAGATGCTGGCATAGCGTGCCAATGTGTTGGCATTCTCTTGGATGGCGAGTTGAGAGGGTGTTGTGCTGGTGATTTTCAGCACTGCACGCCACTTGGCAAAGTCAGCACCGTCTTTCTTGTACTGGGCACAGCGCTCAGCTAGTCCATCCAGCCCTGCAGATGAAAGAACAGTGCTTCACTGAGAGCAGGTCTTCAATATAGCTCTGA